TTTCTGAACTGACACATACGGCGCTCATTAAAATCTACAGTGAAGGACTCAAATCCGTTGTTTGAACTCAAACTCAATACGTGCATAAATAGGGGCGTAGTGTTACAGTGCGTAAGAGTTCTGTTTCGAACTCAGGATTTCCCGGGTTCGATTCCATGAGAGGGAAATCTGCGTTAACTACGAATTTACTTGAGCAAGAAATTTACCACATGTTGCTTCAGACCGGGGTTGCGCAGTCTTCAAAGCGTCGATCTCAGAACCCAGTGGTCCTGGGTTTAAACCCTGATCAATGTCACCTCTCTTTCTTCTTTCTTAGGCTGATAAATGAATGCCACACTGTAGAAAGCCATCAAAATACTATACCCTACGTAAGCCACATGACTGTAGACTCTGCATTTAGAATAAGTCTTTCTTGGCTGATGGCATAGAAGCAAAGATCATAACCGCACCTTGAACTTCATGTGAAGAAGAGTGCCAGAATATGTCCGTGATTATAGTGTCAGAAGTACCGACATTACAACGGTTATGAAGTTTCAATTTTCTTTCCTTGTAAATGTGTTAGCGATAATGGGGTCCGTATTTTAAATAGCTGTATGCTTTAGATCAAAATTTCTTTTCATACAGGATTGTTTATCCTGATAGTTTTTCAGCCAGTTGAGTTTGTGTACGATACGTTTGTGCTTCAATACATACGATTGAGTTTTGGTACGTTTATGGCTGAAAATCGGATCATTGTTTTGCTGTGATAGTAGTGGGCCGAAAAGATGCATTGTTCAGTGCTGAATTTCAGGAACTGTATAAACTTTTGACTTGCAAATTTGTAAATGAGTTCTACGATCTACTGTCGAATGTTATTTGGAATCGAATCGATAAATCGTTTACTAGTATGATAGAGTTTATTCTAGATTGAATTCCTACTCGATTGTAGGTCATGAATTCTGTGTCATGTAAGGGATTTCATTTTCCTGGAGTTGCTATAGTTTGATTTCTGCTGCCAATGTTTTTATGCATATCAGTCGAAACAGCACCATGGTTCATCAGAACAACCGTGAATGATTACCAGAAGATCAGACATGACCCAAATTACTAAAAAGCTTGTAAATGCTGGATTTGTGTAATTAAATTCCTGAACTGTATTTTATCGATATGTTCTGTAAATTAAATGGTTTTGCTTTTGATTTATTCGATTTATATTTAGTTCGCCGAAGTCCACGACTGCGGTCTTCCGGGAGACCACTTTACAACACGCTTCCATCGGTACTGTCTTTAATTCAAACCGACGACCCACCAGACGCGACGGATCCAGCTGAAACAACTAACGTAGATCCTAAGGCGCCTAAGACTATACGGTTTAGCGGCTGTCGCGAATTTTTTCTTCAAAATCTGTCTCCTGTTGGACATACTTGTGGTCTGGGGAGTAGGCGATACAGGGACAA